CACTGGCCACATCTGCAACATATCCGCTACACTGTAACTTTAAAGGTGTTTTAAAAGTTGGCCAGCTTGCAGGGCGGGTATTGAGACATGGCGGGCTCACAGTGATGATCTGTCAAGGGTTAAAAAGTAGTTTGTCTAAAAGTAGATTTTAAAAGCAATTTCTCTTCAGAACAGCTTTTTTTGTGCCACCTAAGAAGGCTCTTGATTCACCATGGCAGTAGTAGCAATAAAATGTGTAATATCAAAGACAACCATCTTGAAACATTTCCTTCCAACCCAAAATGGAGCTTTATTTTGTATTTGTCATAAATCTACATATTCTTCTCTTCCAGATGACTTTAATTGGGAAGTGGAGCTTTCTTTGACATCTGATGGCAAGACGATAGTGTGCTACCACCCATCTGTGGACATTCCATATGAACACAGAAAAGCTATCCCTAAACCAGATCCTGTGCATAATAATAAACACATGATCAAGTGCTAAAATCCAGGATAGAAGAGAAAAGTCAGCACTTTGAACAAGGACCCATGATAGAACGACTTACTGCCAAGCATCATTGGTATCCTCACGGACAGTATCACACACATCGTAAGAAACTGGACCATCCAAAAGACAGATGGCATCGAGGTTCTCAGAGGAACCAGAAATGTGCCTCATTGTCATTTAAGACAATCCCATGTGGTGTATTCACTAATAGGCTATGTAATAAAACAGTAATAAACAATAAACTTTCATGTCATATTAAAAAAAAGAGTTGGCCAGAGGTAGAGAAAAATCCAACTCTGTCACGATGCTAACATATTAAATAAAAATTTGCTCATGTGTCTACAAGTAATTAAATCAATATGTTTTTCCATACACATATATGTTCAGAGAATATTTCCTGGACAACTATTTACATTTTTCTTTTAATATGACAGCATATGCTATATTATGCTACTGGCGATCCATTTAATGGGTGATTTCAAGGTTTGATGATCGCCTTATCCAATGTTTCCCTGACGCTGGATCCAAAGGTAGGTTAAGCCACGATTGCAGTACTCACTTCGCTGTCAAGGACTTGGAAGGGAGGCAAAGGAGAGCAGTGAGAGTAGGAAGGTAGACTGATAATGAAGCAAAATGAAGGTGATTGATTGATCAGTGTTATGAGGGAGCTAAGTGCATAGAGAAGATATAGAGGAGGAGAGGTGAGTGATCAGAAGTGGTTAAGAATGGTCCCAAGAAGAAGTAAAGGGACATCACACGTAAAACAATAATTTGGAAAAACATGCGGAAGCAGCAAACCATACCCAGAATAAGTATGCGGCAGGGTAGATCTAAATGGGAACAAAGGAGGAGGATTCATGGAGAGGAGAGGAGGGACATGAAGCTGAGAGAGAAGTGGGAACTAGACTATTACTGGCCTCAAAGCCAGACTGAAGAGCTGAGTACATCACCTACAAAGGACTGGGAACTTCGAGAGGCAACCTGAGAGAGCCTTTGGGCAGGCATCCTTACCAACCAACGAAAAGAAAAACTGCCTCAGGTCTCTGATCTGACCGTCCAAAGTGGCCTTGTCACCTCCTTTCCAGTACCTTCCAAGTCCACATAGAACACTGCTCTCACAATCTGCCTCTTCACCCGTGCTACACACACATGCTCCTTCTGGGGAACACTGAACTCACACAGGGGAAGGAATGAGGCAATGCTTTTATATCACAACAGGATGGACACATATCTGAGATGCTTCGCAAATAAAACAGTCTATACACCTTTTCTGAACATTTCAATGCAATATTTATGTAATTAGTATTATAAACAGGAAAATAAATAGAATTTTAATATATAATCACTAAAAATCTTGGGGGAAATGCAACTGAATAACATTTCAATTTAAAAAAAGATATAGCCCAGCCACAGAGGTGCAGGCTGTAGGGCACTGCTAGGTAATGCTAGAGCCCTATGGGAAGGCCCAGAATTCACATCATGGGTAGAACTGAACACGCCAGTGATTCTGGCAAGCTGGGAGGCTGGGAGAGAATTGCATGAAACCCTTCACCCAACTCTCTCAATTAATAAGCTTAAATTAAAAAAAAAAAAGAAAGAAAAGATACTTTTGAATTTTTTTTATAAATAAGTAGTCTATATTTAAGATAACATTTGGTTAAATATAAAGACTAATTTTCATGTAGGGATACTATATCCTAATCATCATTCCTTTATTATGCACCTTCTCTTTAATATAAATGACAATTCTACTATTTTACTGCTAAATAAGGAAAATATTTTTTCTGGGAAAGGACAGGATAAGAGTCCAGAAATCCTCACTAATTCTGCAATTATGAGATTTGACACCAGTCATAATGATTTCCACAGTTTCAGGCCATGTGAGCATCAAAGAGCCACTGTGCTTTCCTAAAAAAAAAAACATAGAGATGTGTCATCTTCCAGTTACCAAGCAGCTCCTGGAGGCGTTAGATGAAGCATCGTTGCCTTTGCAGCCTTTATGTTGAGGGGCCACAAGACAATTTCAATAGAGAAGAGCTCATTCATCAACAGGGCACACTGACTGTTTTCAAAGATGAAATTATATAGATGCAATTATAATATAGTTAGGCTCCTATATAGGGGGAGTATAAAAGGAGACAAGACTTAGAGTATAACTGTATATATAAGTATTTCATGCCGTTTCTCACTCAACGAGGTTTACATGTGATCAATGGATTCAGGCTAAAAGGACAATGCAAAGACGCTGCTGACATGTTACTCCTGTAATTTCAGAGCTTTAGCGAAGTGATTCTCAAATTCTAGAAAATCTTAAGGTAAATGTCAGGAATGATCCATTTCTTAACATGATATGAAACACAAAGACTTATACTTGATAATATGACTAGATCATATAAACAAAGTCTTTATGCCTAAAATCCAAATTCCATTTGCTTGTAAATTATTTATTACTTATGGCCCCTGAAAGGGATGCATTTGTCACATGGTCAGATTTCCAGCTGGACATGGACTGTGCACTCCCGGTGAGCACTAAACCCACGGCTCGTCACATTCTGATAACATTGACTCTTCCAACACCACGAACAACAGGAAAAATGCTGAGGTAACCTGCAAACACCCAGTGATGTAAATAAAGTATGCCAGGCCACAGAATATGCTCCATGAGCAGTTTGGAGCTTGTAAAATTCTTTGGTCATCACACAAATTTTCTAATTTTTCTATTTGACATGTAAGAATGGAAATGACATTATTACAAAATCTAAAATCATCCATGTTTCATGAAGATATTTGACCTAAAACTTAGACAACTTCATTAGACAAACCCATTTACAATATTACAAATATACAGACTGAAATCAGAACTGCTTCCAGGGGGGAGTTCCGGGACAATTTATGATGGTCAGAATGATAATTAGCTTCCTAGGGATGTAAGAACACGGAGCAAGCCGCTTTCCTCGGATGTGAGTACAGCCCACTTGCTGCCTTCAGAAAAGCCATGCTGTAGACAGGCTATTAAGGGTAATTCAAATTCAAGGGTAATATATGTTAAGTATTAATTACTTTATACCAGATTGTACTTTAATTATCTTGACACTAAGAGGAAAATGGTTTTTGCTGAATGTAATAAAGTAAGAGCAAGAAGAACGCAACATGATGATATCTGGGAAGTTTCATTACTTCTATTACTCTGGCCAGATTTCTACCCTGTGTTGGTTTCATAGAAACTACTACCATACTTATCTGATCTCTATACCCATTACTTTTTTTTCTAACTAAACACGTTATAAAAGAAGGCAGAAAATGAAAGGGAAAAAAATCAGCAAAAGTGTCCATACTCTAGTAATATTTATATATCCTGCTATAATTAATCTAAACAAGAAGTTATCACATCACTCTCTTGACAGGATCCTCACAGAATGGTGATTTAAATTAACAATTTCTATCACTAATGGAAAATACTACAAAAAAAAAAAACTCTTTCTAGAAAACTGAAGTGATCATTCAGAAATGGAAAAATGAGGCCCTCCTGATGCTAAGACATACTTGAAAAAAAAATAAACAATTATCGGATCAGTGATCTGATTTTAACTTAAGACAACAAAAAGACATTTTAGAGGTGCCAGCAGGTGGCATGGTGATTAAGGGTGCTGGATATTCACATGGCTGACCACAGTTTGAGTCTCGGACCTGGCAGCTTGCTTTCTCACTTTCCCTCTCTGTCTCTCTCTGTCCCTGTCCCTCTCCGGTCAAATTAAGACAAATAAATAAAGTTAAATAAAATTATTATTTTTTTTAAAAAAGACATTTTAGAAAAAAATAAAAGTGAAACTAGATTAAGCAAAAAAATAAATAAATGTTACATCCTGTAATATTAACTGATTGTAAATAAAACTGTTACATCAAGACACATCAATGTAAACTACTGGATCGTTGGGACGATCATGACACATTTTCATGTTGAAAAACAAAAAATACTCTGTGACTTTCCAAACGACCTAACAGTTAAGGAGAGAAGATGTTCTACCATGTACCAGGTATAGCTGGGTATGTAAGTATTTCATGCAGTTTCTTATTCAATGAGGTTTACATGAACTTAATGGATTCAGGCTAAAAGACAGGACAATATCTTTTAATGTATTTGTCTGTCAAAGAAGCTTCTAACATGTTACTTCTATATTTCATAGCTTTAGAGAAGTGATTCTCAGATTCTGGGAAACCTTAAAGTGAACATCAGGAATGACCAATTTCATATCATGATATGAAACACAAAAACTTTTACTTAATGATATGACTAGGTTAAATAAACCAAGTCTTTAGCCCTAATATCCAAATTCCATTTGCTTGTAAATTGTGTATTACTGATGACCTCCCACAGGTATGCATTTACCATATAGTCAGATTTCCTCTGCACTAAGCACTGTTTTATATCACTTTGTTACAACAAGTATCTATATTGAAAACAAAACAACAACAACAACAAAAAAAAAAAACTTGAAAAATGCTGCAAGCTCACCTTCATCACTAGTTGCCTGCTGCTTCACGAGCGTCATCGGGGACCTGGCTGGAGGCTTACTAAGTGGATGGCGCCAACTCTTGGCAGTTTTGGTCTCTCCCTCTATTATCTGGTTACAGAACAAAAATGGGAGAAACATGTTTTAAACAAAAATCAACATCTCACAATGATTTCAGACAATTATGAAGACACTATGCATGGGTTTATACCACTCTTAAGAGAATTAGCCCTTAACAAAATTTAAATATAAAGTAAAAAGAAAAAGTACCAAGAGATCAATAAACTCTTCTACCAATTCATCTTAAAATACTAGTTAAAGGGCAAGATAGACTTATCAAGACTACAGTAAGTTCAACAGTTGGCACGTTTTTAAAAAATTTTTCTAAAAAGAATCTCAGTTTAGCGTTATGAACTCATAGAAACATAAGGACAGTGGCATTTAGTCACATATATGTGGTTCCCTTGTGAACATTTGGCAGGTGACTTGGCTTTCTATGCTCACAGAGAAAGAGATCCTGCCAGTCTGAGGTGTATGCCTCCTCCCATTCAAAACAAATAGCCACTTCTATTTTACGTCCACAGTGACTCAAACAAGAAATAAAAAGATATCGGGGTGTTTAATGATACATTAGTGCCATCTTGAAACCACTTAAATTTTCTATGAAGTCTTTCATCCTAGGCTCTCCAGACTGTATGTTCTTTCAAAAGCACAAGGTCTTGTATGCTTTAACACCCTCCAGCTGGGAATCTAGAAAGCTACAAGCTTTCTTCCACATTCAATTACAAAGGGAGAGAGGCTTAGAGAAATGATAAAACCAGGGAGTTTACATCAAGAATTGTCTATGAAAGAAAGCTGTCTTGGGCCAGCCTACTCATTAAGGGAGCCGGATTCCACAAGACTGACCACAGTCTGAATCTCAACCTCAGTGGCTTTTAAAACACAGAAGCCAGTACGTGTGTGTGTGTGTGGGGGGGGGGAGGCAATCCCCAACAGAATGTAGAAATGGAGGAGCAGGGAATGAGGCATGACCATGCCCAAGTCAGAGCAGCTTCTTTCTTTCCTTCTGTCTCTGTTTCTCTCTGGCAAGTACACATGCCCTCTGGCAAAAATACATATATACATACAAATAAGAAAGTAGTCCTGACTTCTTTCCTTGAGTTGAAAAAGCAATGAACAGAGGTGAAGAGACTACTCGGGTCTTAAACTCCTAAACAGGATTCTGAGAAAATGTATAAAAACATTTTAATCAAAGCAGGGGGTTACGGGGTGGGGTAAGCATGATAATGTAACATAGGATGCGATACACCTTTGTTTATGATAGGTAAAAGGTAATGTGGGAAATTAAACAGTCATGAGCAGAAAAGCTTAAGGAGCCCCTATTATGTGTTGCACTGTTTTAGGAGCTAGAACTTTACCAGGAAAACATTCCATCAGTGCCTACTTTCTCTGACTGTGCATTGTGGAGGAAAAAACCAGTAATAAAAAATAAAGTGCATGGGACCAGCAGATGGCCTAATGGTTATGTCACTGGACTCCCACGTAGGCACCACAGTTCAAGGCCCAGACCCAGCCACTTGAAACACACCAGGCATGTGTGCATGCATACCCCAAATCCCAGGACAAGACTGGAAGAGACAGAATTGCGGCATGGCCATCCCTCCAGGAGATGATTTCTTACATTTTGTCTCTCTCTGTCTCTCCAGCGAGTGCACACATCCTGTAGAAAAAAATCTTCCAAAAATAAAAAGTAAAGTGTAAACACTTATCAGGCACTATTCAATGTATGCAAATTATTGGAAAAATATGAAAGAAAAAAGAATGCAAAGAGATAGGGAGGGGACAATTTTAAGTGGGGTATTCACCACAGGCCTTTCTGGCAAGGTAAGAATTAAGTGAAACGTGAGTGCAATGAGGGAGCCTTCCATGTGGCTATCACAGGGAGAGTATCTTGTATAGCAAGAACTGCATGTAAAGTAAGAACATATAAGCCAGCCAGTAACAGAGTGGTTACAGCAGCTAGATCCCAAATGGCCAACAGTGGTTCAAGTCCCAAATCGGGCAGTTTGAAAAACATGCTGGGCATGTGAGAATGTATGCTGAAAGTCCCAAGGGGAGAAATTGAAAAGAAATTATGGCATGACCATTCCTCATGGGGAGTGCTTTCTCACCCCCAACCCCAACCCTTGCCTCCACCCCGATTGCTCTCCAGTGTGTGTTTATCTACTCTGAAAATGAGAAGGAAAAAAGAAAAAAGTGAGAACATGTTTAGTTTGTTCTGTGGAAAGCATGGAGCCCAAAATGAATGGGTGGATGGATGAATAGACATATCTATAAATAGATAGATGGATAGTAATTTAAAGTAACTTCATATTTATTGAGTAAATGGATTAAGGCTAGCTGCTACCAATATACTCAGAGCATTACACTTCATGCCAAGAAGCAATGGTCAAAACCAAAGAAAAATTAACTGGGTCTGAATTACTTAGAGGAGTGCTTGGACACCATGATGTGAGAAAAGAATACCTCATAGCTCTATTCAGGAAGAAGCAAGTCAAGCCAGTTGGCCTCAAGAGCAATGTTTGTTTTCTCTGCTGTCAGTCTTTCCTCAGAGAAATGATAAAGATGAACGTTAATGATACTGGCTGTATCACCTACGTTGAAAGCAGGGAAACTGAAAAGTTACTTTACTTGCATTCCAATTTTTAAAGTGTAGCTTAAATATACTAATTCCTCATATCCATGAGGCATATATGCCAAGATACCCAGTCAATGCCTGAAATCACACACACTACCAAACCTGATATATACTATGTTTTCTCCGATAATATATACCCACACTAAAGTTTAATTTATAAGTAAGGCACAGCAAGAAATTAACAGAAATTAACTAATAGTAAAAAGAACAATTAGAACAAAATACTGTAATAAAAGGAATAGGCATGATGGGGTTCGCTCACTCTCACTTTCTCTTACACTTTCTTTTAAAACAGACCAGTTGATGGGGGTGTTTTACCTCCTATCTTTTAGAATAGGAATACTGTACAGAATAAAGGGGAATACCGTATAGTTAGGGAGGCATTTGACTCACATTACAGGAAGAGTCCCAATATCTGTTTAGTTCAATTTAACCCCTATTTGAAATTAAGTTGTAAATTTGGCTAACTAAAATGAGAATGCAATTTTCAAACTTTTCGTAGCTACCATTTCAAATAAAAAATGGGGCCAATTTTTTTTACATGTATTCTTTTTATAAATATTTATTTTATAGTTCAGTGGGATATACAATCCTACAAAAAGGGATAAATACCCTTGGGTCAAATTAGGGAATTAGCTACATTTTATTTGATATTTTAAGACTCCTAAGAAACAGGGTACTCAAAATTTCTGTACTTTTATAATCTCCCTCACTATTAAGTATGCAAAAAAGATCTTTGGTCCAGAGTTTAAAAGAATAGGAGCAGTCAAGAAGTGGGTTTATTCAATAGACAGCTCAATTAACCAACACGAAAATGTGATGCTCAGACCAGGCACTGGTGTGGTTAAGGTGCTAGATCCCACATGGCCAACTCTGTGGTTTGAGTCTGAGACCAGGGCTTGAAAGACCAGGTGTGTATGCAATACATTCCAAAAATCCCTTAGAAGGGTGATTTTGAACTTTTGTCCTCTCTCTGTCTCTCTAGTGAACGTATAAGCCCTACATTTGAAGGGGAAAAAAATGGAAAAAGAAAATGTGACACTCTCGTCATTTATCCACATGAATTCCCTGATCAGGTTATATAGGCCAAAAGAGGTTACTGAGCTTCAAAAATCATTACTGATCCAAGCTCACCTGACTTACTCCCAATCTTATTAACACTTTATGTTGAAACCATATTATATTAACATTATACAGAGACATCAGAGAAACACAGAAGTCTAATCCAAACACAGAATGGGGAGTTTTGCAATCTGGAGAAGGAAAAGGCTAGTTTCTAGAAGTGGTCAGAGCCAGAGATTCAGAGGATTCGGAGTCCATGAAAGCAGCCAAAAGAAAGCCTGACTGGATGAGCCCCAACAGAGCATGTAGGAATTGTGGGATGTAGGATACTAACTGTTGGGAAGAGGAGGACAGAGCCCAGAAGGTGAGTTCTCCCCAGCCTGGTTAACATAAACTTTGTTACATATTTTTTCTACAATGCCATCAAATTACGTATTCCTTACATTAACACTTATTAACTTTTTTTTTTTGAGAGATTTTTGCTATAGGGTGCACGTGTTCACTAGAAAGACAGAGAGACAGGGAGACAGAAAGTGAGAAATCACCCCCCAGGGGAATGGCCATGCCACAATCCCATTCTCCACTCAGGATCTTGTGTACACACACGCACCCAGCATGAGTTTAAGCCACCAGGTCCGGGACTTGAACTACAGTCGAATATGTGGGAGTCCAGCCACATAGCCATTACGCCACCTGCTGGTCCTAGTCCCTTCTGCTATATCTTGACCCTGTCAATGTCAATATGGTTGTGATACTTTCTAAGGTAGTTGAACTGGACAAAACTGGATGAAAGGCATACAACATCTCTCTGTACTCTTTCTTATAATTGAATATCAATCTATACTTACCCTCAAATGAAGACTTTTTCTTAAAGGTTTTACCAAAAGGCACATGCTTGCCAAAGAGAGACAGAGGGAGACAAAGTGAAAAATCACCCCTCAGAGGATGGCCACATCACAATTCCTTCCCCTCAATTCTCTTCTCAGGACTTTGGGCATGCACACAAACCTAGACACCATGAATTTCAATCCACCAGGTCCAGAACTCAAACCACAGTCAGCAACATAGGAGTTCAACACCTTAACCACCACCTGATGGTCCCAGAATTTAACTTGTTAAAAATATAAAATGATAAAGAGTTAAACTTCAAAATGTGGCCCAAAACTCTTTACTCTGAATTATCACCATGGAAGACAGAGTTCACAGAATGCTTGCCTTCCATTCATGAAAAGAATACAAGTCAAACATATAAATATAGAATTTTATTAACTTCTACCCTAAAATAGATTTTTAGTGCACAGAATAAGAGCATTTTTTTTTTCAGAAAGTGCTCTCGTCATACAATAAATACAGTGAAAATGAGTATTACCACTTACACTGGGGGCTGTGAGGCCATTTATCTCTCGACTGGAAACCACAGGGATTTCCCCAGGTTCAAGTCTGCTCCCATGGCTCTCCACATCACTCTCTTCTCCCTCTGTTAACACACCATTACTCTCCACCACTGAGGAACACGATTCGGGTGACTTTGGCCATGAAAGATTGGGTGGATCCGAGTCCTCAGCCTTCACATTGTCAGAAGATAATGGTACAGAATGGTCCAATTCTTTGGGTTTTGAAGGTGCAATAATGGCACAGGCTTTGTCACCTTCACTCTTTATTTTCTCCATCATAGGTATACTTAAGCTGCTATTTTCTGAAAAGTTAAAAAAAAGAATTAATAAATCTTGCAGTGATGTATTACTGAGAACAACTGCTAAGCTATTTCCGATCGATATTATCATCCAATTTGATTCTAAACTTCCACAAATATGAGCATAAATGGTCACCAAAACACAATGCTTTCTTAGGTGTTGATGTAATATTTAGAATTTAGCAAAAAAAAAATCATCTAATAGGCAAAACAAGAGATTAAAAAGAGATTCTACTACAGACCAATATCAACAGGCAGGTGTTGAGGTAAGATCTAGAATTTAGCAAAAAAAATCATCTAATAGGCAAAACAAGAGATTAAAAAGAGATTCTACTACAGACCAATATCAACAGGCATGGTGATTATTAAAATTATCCAAAGCAACAGCAATTTAAGATTTATCTAAAAATAGGAATTATATCCCAGGATATAATGCTAACAGCTGCTACTAATGAAGCATTGCAGTTCAAAAAAAATATGTTAATGACACATCTAAGGCAATATAGAGTCAATAAAAATTATTTCCTACACTGATCCTGCATTATACACTGACAGCATATAACAGGATAAACATCTTGTAAAGAGCTTCACTTCTGGAGACCAGCAGTTAGAGTACTGGCTATGTTGTTGGACTCCCACATAGTCGACCACGGTTCGCGTCCCGGACCCGGTGGCTTAAACTTACGCCAGGCGCATGTGAGTGCATGCCCAAGATCCCGAGAGGAGAATGGAGGAGAAGGGATTGGGGTGTGGCCATCCCCCCTGGGGGGTGATTTCTCGCTTTCTACCTCTCTGTCTCTCTCTGTCTGTCTGGCAAGCGCAAGAGCCCTATAGCAAAAACCTCTTTAAAAAAAAAAAAAAAAAGCTTCACTTCTGCTGCCATATTTACTTACCTTTTATACACACACACACACCCCACCACCACCACCACCACCAGCACCACCACCACCACGCAAGCATCATTTCTACCTATCACATACAGGCTCTCATGCTGAACTCAGCCATGTCTTTCAGTTAAGGGTTCTCCCCAGTCTCAAAACCTGAAAATCAAAATGCAAACGACCATCTAGCAAGAGAACCAACACAACTGAGCACCCTTACCCTAAACCATCCAGTAATTCATAACAAGTTTAATGTCATTCAACAATGGTAGAAACCATAATAAGGAAGTATTAAAATAAAAGAATACAGATTCTGTCACTTTTCTCTGTGTTTTTTGCAACTCCCTTCCCTGCCTTTTCATCCTTACTATCCGCTCTCCATTCATCACACTTCCACTCAGATATCACCCAGGCCAGAAAACCTCCTCTCTCCAGCTCCTTTAAGTGTGAGGTGCTACCTTGATAGGCCAGCAATACTCATTCCCTCATTCTGTCTCTCTGATGCTATTTTCCACACTGATTGGTAGTTACATGTTTATTTGTCTAGTTCTCCACTAAATCATGAATTCATTGAAAAAAAACATTAAACTCTATTCTTATGGACAAAGGTAATTAGGCTGGAGAAGAACAAAGGTAATTAGGCTGGAGAAACAGCTGAGGATCAGTTTATCAAGAAACATGTAAGGATTTCTTTTTTTTCTTTTTACTCTAGGTGAAATAATAGTGAGGAGAAGGTAGGGGGAGAAGACCTAACTTGCTTTTTTTAAGGATCCCTAAGACTGTCATTTGGAGAACTGACTAACAAGAGTACCAGAGCAGACAATGGCAAAACAGGAAGACGTTTCCATAATATTACAGGCCAACAATACTGTGCATTAAGTCAGGAGGAAACAGGAGAGGTAGTTAGACTCAGGGAAGTTCAAGGTGTGAAAGGAGGGCAGGAATTACCAGCTAGCTCAATTATTAAAAAGACAAACATTCAAACAGTTTTTCTTTCTTTCTTTCTTTCTTTCTTTCTTTCTTTCTTTCTTTCTTTCCTTTTCTTTCCTTTTCTTTTTTTTTTTTTAAAGATGTTTGCCATAGGGCATGTGCATGTGTGCTCACTGGAGGAAGACAGAGAGGGAAAGTGAGAAGTCAACCACCACCCCCAACTCCATTGGGAGGGTGGGGGTGGGAGGGCCATGCTACAATTCCTTCTCCTCCATTCTCCTCTCAGATTCTGGACATGCACCCAGCATGTTCTTCAAACATCCAGATCCAGGATTAAAGCTGCGGAGTAGGTCATTTGGGATCCAGTGCCTTAACCACCATGCCACCATCAGGCCCATTCCAACAATTATTCAAGAGACTAATCATTAAAGCAGTTTTAGAGAAACAATCTATGAAATAATCGGTGGAGGAGAGCAAAGTAGCTGAGAGCTCTGACGATGGAGGAGCAATACCATTTCTCTAGCTGTCCTATTATTTTTATTGTTCTTTCTAAAACCTTACACTTTAGTTTCTTCTTAAATTTAAATCAAAAGTTAAGAATCTTCAAAGAATTATCTTTAAGTTGTTTTCTGTGCTGTATATGAATTCCAGAGAAGCTTTCCAAAAAATCTATTGTATATTTTAAAATGAGTTGCACAAAAAAGATATACATATATTTCATTTTAGAATCTTCTATATTACTAAACCAGCTAGAGGTTGCTGCTAGTTCTGGCGTACAGAGGTTTAAGGCATCAGCTCACCAATCACCTGCCATACATATGTGGTACATAATCTGCTAATTTCTCACCTGAAAGCTTTATATTATTTGATAAGTCCTGATCCACTTGTATTCTGCTAGCAGAGGCTGCTTCCTCTGAAGCTACTTCTGTGTTCCCCAATTTTACTGGTTCTTCTTGCTTTCCACTGGTCTTGAGGTCGTCTGTGTCTGGGCCAGGAACATCTGCCCCATCACCTTCTGCTGTCATGTCCTCATCCTCCTCAGACTTAGGCCTTTTAGAGTGAGATCTAGAGCACTGAAAGCTAATGACAAGAGAAGCAGGTCAGAGCAGGAGGTAAGTAATGGATAGGAAAAAACTTATGCACCAAAACTGTCACTTGCTCTAGGAAAAAATGAAAAAAGAAAAGCTGATAGCTTTACTTATTCATTTATTTATTTTTGAGAGGTTTTTGCTATAGGGCATGTGTGCTCACCAGAAAGACAGACAGAAAGCGAGAAATCACCCCTCTGGGGGATGGCAAGGCCACAGCAACAGCATTCACCCATGCATGAGGGTAGAGCTCTCCAGGCCTACTTACCTGTTAGAGTCCAGTGCCCTTAACCACCACACCACCTGCTACACCACGATCCCCAACAGTTAGCTCTTACTATGACCAGGTAATGCTGGGGTTGGTTTAGAGGTTTATGCTATAGGGCGCATGCTCTCACCAGAAAGACAGAGAGAGACAGAAAGCGAGAAGTCACCACCCCAGGGGAGATAGCAGCCGCAATCCCTTCTCCTCCATTCTCCTCTCAGGATCTTTGACATGCACGCATACGCGCTCAATGTCAGTTTAAGCCACTGGGTATCCGGGACTCGAACCACGGTCGACTACTTGGGAGTCCAGCAACATAGCCATTACACCAACTGCTGACCCCTGAAATTTATATCTTAACAGTTTTCTTATCAATTTACTAAAAATTGAAACAATTATAAATATTTTTTAAAGATTTATTTTATTTAACTTTATTTATTTATTTCAATTTGATCAGAGAGGGACAGAGTGTGTGTGTGAGAGAGAGGGGAGTGAGAAAGTAAGCCACCAGGTCCAGGACTTGAACTGTGGTCGGCCATATGGGAGTCCAGTGCTCTTAACCACCACACCACCAACTGGCCCCACAATTATAAATATTTTATTAAACAGTTTAGAGTCATTGTTAAAATTCTATCAAAACATTTCTATGTCTGAAACTAAAAATAAAGTTAGAAATGATGACATAGGGGAAAAGGAAACAAGAAATAGTAAGTTGGCAATCATGAAAGGAAGAGAAAAATCCGAAGATCCTATAAATTGGCTGTTAAAATCTGGGTAAATTATCTTCACTTCCAAGTGAACTAGTGACAACTGCTCTCTAAATTTTGTATAAGCAATTTGGCAACTAAATGCCAAAACATCAATGACTGGGACCAGCAAATGACATAGCTATTACACTACTGGACTTCCACAAGGCCAACCATGGTTTGAATCTTATACCCAGTGGCTTGAAAAATCACACTGGGTACAGGTACATGACTGCCCAGGAACCCAGTAGGAGAATGGAAGAGAAGACCATCCCATGGGTGGTGATTTCTCTCTCTTTCTTTGTCTTCCTCTCTTCCTCTCCCTTCTTCCCTCCCTCCCTTCTTCCCTCCCTCCTCTCTCTCTCTCTCTCTCCTTCTCTCCTTCTCTCCCTCTCTCCCTCTCTCCCTCTCTCCAGCAAGTATACAGGCTCTAGCATAAGCCTCTTAAAAAAATTTAAAAAAATCAATGCCTACAGGAGTTAAGATAGGAGAAAGGTTAACTGTATTTAGTGTCTTACATTAGCTTATTATTTTCAGAGTGGACATTATTTTTATTTTCTTGTTATTTTTGTATTTTCCAGGAAGTAACCAGATAGCTATGTCATACGTTTTTGTCAATGACACAACATTTCTAACAATTAGAAATAATTACAAATCAAATCAAAAGACACGCAAGACACATAACCAATATGTGATATGCACACACAGGAAAATATCACAAGACTAAGCACTGTAACTAGCAGGGGGCTGGGGGTCAGAGATAAGAGATAAAGGAGCAGTGGGGTAACTTCTGAATTAGCTGTGGCTGGTGCTAAAGGCAATGAGGATCATCATGACCACCATTTCTTTTATTGAGAACCACACAGGGGCCACTGTGGAGAATCTCGGGATTATGAGCAGCATACTACATGTAAAATAAGAAGGTTGACATCTCAAAGAAATTGACATGGGTCATCCTAGTCATTAGATGTTTTCAGAGACGGAATTACTGAAGGGAGAGCAGCAACCTCTATGACCAAGTCACAGGCTGTTCCCTTATCACTGGGATTTCTAAGCAAGGCCTATTATTTCACTCTATTGACAGGCATTACCTAATCCTTCAGTGGCATAAGTATATGCTCTTTGTCGGCATAATAGTCCCATGGTTAGAGTGTCGTGCTCTTTTTTTTTTTTTTAAAGGAGAGGTTTTTAATATAGTGTGTGTGTGCTTGCCAGAAAGACAGAGAAAGACAAAACCTCTCGGGATCTTGGGTACACATACACACCCAGGGTGATTTTAAGCCACCCAATCCAGGACTCGAACCACCGTCGACTACATGGGAGTCCAGCAACGTACCAATTAGGCCATCTGCTATGTCATGCTTTCTATCAATTGGAGGTCAGTTCTCAAGATGTTCTGTTATGTATTCTGAAACCAACATGGAATACTGCTTTCTTGTAAACCTAATTGTTTTGGAAATGTGAATTAACACATTAATCAAAGGCCTTATATCTCAAAATTAGTATTGCTCAAATGTTTCTGATGTAACGTGTGTATTTAGGTCAGTGACATACTACACATATCCTCACGCAAGTCAGGAATTAAGACTTACACTATCACATAGGAACCCCTATAATACTTTTTATTCTATTCTACATCCTAATTTTAAAATAGAGCTCCTAGACTACTGAACTGATTTGAATACTAATACTTTGAAAATCAGCACTGTAAATTATAGAGTGAATATGAATTGCCAAATTTTAGGTCTGCTACTAACTAGTTCTACGCCCCAGGTACATTCCTTATAAAATGTGCCAGTTAGAGTACATATTCCTAAGATTCGTCTGCTCGCTACCATTCTAAAATTGCAGCAAATAAAAATGTTGGGGAAAAAATGGAAAGAGAAAATTAGAAAATAAGCATCAGAGGTGTAGCCAAAGACTGGAAATTACAGTATTAATTAATAGTAAAAAAGTGGAAATTTATATATTAAATAAATATAGCAGATATCATACATTCTATTGCAGCAAGTAATTTAGTTTCATTTTTTAAAAGGTCACTAACATAACTAGTCATCATATTGTTAATAAAGCATGGTCCCAATTTTGGAAAGGTATGTAATATTTTATAATTTGTACTAAAGAATATAGGCAAAATGTTAACACTGGGTGTATCTGGATAGTGAGGTAATGAGTGACTTGGAATTCCTGCATTATTTTTTAGTTAATTTGGCATAATTTTTACCAATGTCCAAATATTACCATTAAAATCAGAAAGAAAACCAATGAGTAATGTTGAAGAGGAAAAATTAATATAAAATTGAGAAATATAAGTCAAAAAGATAATCTGAGGACCTGAGCAATACAACATAGACTCCATCGAAAGAGTTTAAAAATAAAGAGGCTGCCCAATGCAAACCTAAAAGCTATTGAAATAGAATTGGTCACAAACAAACAAAAAACAACAAAAAACAAGTATAGAAAATGTATTAAATCTAGATGATAAAAGTAGTACATCATGTATTTGACAAAGATTAAACTACTAAAGAAAATTGGCAGCAAAATGAAAAGATTCTAGTTGGTAAGCAAGTTATTGAAATTCATTAAAATAAGAATAATGGAAAGGACTAATATTATGACTAAAATACATTAATAAGTAGTCTAAGAAATTCTAATATTGTTTTATTTGTCATGTACAGCAATTTCATGAATATTCTCAAACACAATATATGCGCCACCAACTACATTTTATTTTTTAAAATTTTGAAAAATTAAGAATGCCTTACCTCAGATTTTCAGTAAAATGCCAAGTAAACTTAATGTAACTAAACAGGAAAAGGCAAACAAATAGACCTAGAGAATATAAAAGCCATTAAAATTAAGTAAATAGGATAGCACAATGGGGGTGAAAAGAGGTCATTACCTCTTGGGTGCTTTTCTGACTTTCCTCCTCCTCTGCAACCATGCTTTTACTTCAGGGGTGGATTCCGGAGTAGGCTTTGTGTGATCAATGGTGTATATATCCTTGCCTTGTTTCCAAAGTTGGTATCTGTCTGGCTGAAATTTTCTCACAAAGATATCCATTGAAATTTTCACCATGTCGTTTCTGCAAGTGCACTGGAAAGCAATGGGGTTGGAGTGTGTTAAACATTTTGCTAGGTATGTAACGTCACCCACACTAGTCCAATGCACCAAAGTGAGTATTTAGTCACCACAAAACTGAGGATGTTTTATATTTTTAAACAATCAGTGGTAAGCTCAATTTCTTCTGAAAAGAGTTGAGAACCTATATGTTCAAATTATAAGGGGAAAGTTGGATATAAAAATGTTTTGTAGACTTCACAGAAGAAAATGTAGCCCCCCCAATAAAAATAAAAACCTAAAAAGAAAAAGTATATGTTCAAAAGCATACCTACAACAGAATGATAACTCTCCCCTTAGCAAGGATGTTTCAATGAGCTGAACACAGAAAGATCTACAAAACTGAAAACCTGGGTCATAAACAAATATAAGAAACCAACGGATATGTGATCCAAATCACTTAACCAATGAGGTAACATACATCTTCTCTAAGATATATTTCAATCGTATTTATGATTATTAACAAACAAGTTCTGACAAAGTAACTGAATGTTAAGAGCAAATGACCAGTTGCTTCTACATCGCATGCAGTGCCACCACCAGGACAAACATAACCACTAGTAAGGCACAGAATGAAAATGAAAAGGTCAAAGAAAATATTATTTTGAATCCATTATAATCTTGATTTTCATAAACACACAGGTCACAGGTGTATAAAACAAGTTATCTATAAAGATTTCATGTGGGGTTAATTCACTGTAAGACAACATCCTCTCCATTGTAACAGATATTATTCAAATGGTGGTATAAAATTAGTCTCGAAGTTGTTTTTTTCTTTTGTTTTGTTTTTTTTTTACATTTCCTATAGGGTGCATGCATTCACTAGAGAGAGTGAGAAAAAGAAAGTGAGAAAGAACTCTTCAGAGGGATGGTCACACTGAAATCCCTTTCCCCCCAATATGTTTCAGGATTTGGGGCACACATGGACACATCTGACATGTTTTTCAAGCCACTTAGTCTTGGACTCAAACTGAACAGCCAGCCCTATGGAATCTAACTGCCCCAACCACTTTGAAACCTGCCAGCCCTAGTCTCAAAAATTTAACTGATATAACTTCACAATCCCTAACATACATATGGATAAAATATTGATTGAAAAACAGCCTTTACACAGGAAGACTATGAATATCTTGGTGATATAAATACTACTTTCATGTAAATTAATTTCATCTGAATTATCTCCAGCACCAAACGTTCCTCCATAAATTTCTAACCTTTTTTTTTAATTACCAGAACATGTATACGGCCACCATAGAGAGAAACGTAGCGAGAGAGAGAGCACTCTCTAACAAGAAATGGTCACAACCCACTCAACACCCCATTGTATCCTCTAGCTCATCTAGAAAAAAAAATAAAAATAAACAAAGAAATACAATATCATAGATGAAATGGACTTGACAGACATCTATGGAGTATTTCACCCAACTACCACAAAATACACATTCCCCCCCCCCATGGAACATTTTTGAAGAAAGACCATGTGATAGGGCACAAAACAAACCTTTACAAATTCTAAAGTACGGAATCTATACCTAGCATCTTTTCTGACCATGATGGAATCAAACTTGAAATAAACTACAAAATGAGCCATTGTAAATTCACAAACACATGGAACTCCTAAATGACTTTATGAGTACAGAAGAAATTAAGACTGAAACCAAAATGTTCATAGAAACCAATGTAATGAACAAACAAGTGTTTATAACCTGTGGGACACAGCAAAAGTAGTCATAAGAGAAAAGTTCACAGCAATTAGTGCCCACAAGAAAAGCAGAAAGGTAGCAAATAAACAACCTAATGACACAACTCAGGGAATGGGGAAAAAACAACAACAAAAGAAAGAACAACAAAAAAAATTTCCAGGAGAAAATAAATAATAAAGATTAGAGCAGAAATAAATGAAATAAAGAATAAAAGAACTATACCAAAAATAAATGAAACTAAAAACTGGTTACCTGAGAAGATAAACAAAACTTACATACCACTAGCTAGATTAAACAAGAACAACAGTGATAGGAACTAGACAGATCAAAGCACCAAGAATACAGGCATTATTACAACAGATATAACAGAAAAATAAAATATCATCAGAGAATACGATGAGCAATTACATGCCAACAAACAAAAAAATCTAGATGAGATGGACAAATGTCTGGACATGTATAACTTATCAAGACCAAACAAAGGAAGAACTAGAAAGTCTCAACAGACCCATAACAAGCAATGAGACTGAATCAGTAATAGTCTCTCAACAAAGAAGATCCCAGATCCCAATGGCTTTACTTCTGAATTCTACTGTTAAAGAAGAATTAACACCAATTCTCTTCAAACTATTTTTAAAGATTCAAAAGGAAGGAACGTTACAAATTAATTCTATGAACCATCCATCATCTTAATTCCAAAACCAGAAAAGGACATGACAAAGAAAGAAAACATCAGGTTTATATCCCTGATGAATATGGATGCAAAAATTCTCAACAAGATACTAGCAAATTGTATTCAGCAAGATATTAAAAAGATTATACACCATGACCAACTAGGCTTTATTCCAGTGATGCAAAGATGGTTCAACATAAGCAAAACAACTGATGTAATACATCACATTAACAAAAGGAAAGATGATAAACATATGATTACATCAATCAATGCAGAAAAAGCATTCCATGAAATACAGCATCCCTTCATGAACAAGATTCTCAGCAAAACTGGCATAGAAGAAACATTCCTCAACATAAGAAAAGCAATCTATAACAAACCCATCGCTAACATTATACTGAATGGAGAAAAACTAAAAGCTTTTTCACTCAAAAGTGAAAAAAAGACAAGGCTGCCCACTTTCTCAACTCCTTTTTAACATAGTACTGGAAGTTCTAGCCAATGCAATTAGACAAGAGAGTCAAGTAAAAGGCACTGAAACAGGAAAAGAACTATAGTTATACATTAAAAAAAAAATCCAAAAGAATCCACAAAAATACTGTTGGAAGTGATAAATGAATATACTAAAGTGGCAGAATACAAAATCGACATACAAAAATCTATAGCATTTTATATACAAACAATGAACAAACTTAAAACAGAACTGAAGAAAGAATTCTCATTTATAATAGCCATAAAACTAATCAGATATCTAGGAATAGACTTTACCAAAAAAATATCAAAGATCTCTACAAGAAAAACTATGAGGCACCAAATTAATAATTATACAAAGAAGTGAAAAACTATACTGTTCCTGGATTAGAATAGTTAATATAACCAAGAAGTCAATGCTGCCCAAATTAATCTAAAAAAATTCAAAGAAATTCCAATCAACCTACCAGAAATGTTCCTCATAGAAACAGAAAAAAAACAATCATAAAAATGTGTCTGGAATCATAGAAAACATTGTATCACTAAAGCAATGTTGTGCAAGGGGAATTAAGTAGGAGGCATCTCATTTGCTGACTTCAAAAAAATCTACAAAGCTGTAATAATTAAAACAGCATGGTATTGGAACAAAAACAGAGAAGTAGACCAATGGAACAGAATTGAGAAATCACAAGTAAACTGCACAACATACAGCCAACTGATCTTTGACAGAGGGAACAAGACAATCCAGTGGGAAAGAGAAAATCTCTTCAGCAAATGGTGCTGGGAGAAAAGGATATCCACCTGCAGAAGAATGAAATTGCATCTTTATCTCTCATTGCTAATAAAAATCAACTCAAAATGGATTAGAGGATCTAAACATAAAACCTCAAACTATAAAAATACCTGTGAAAATCAAAGGGAAAACCTTCGGAGATCTTGGGGTAGGCAAAGATTTCTTAAAGAAGACTCCCAAAGCATAGACAATAGCTCCAAAAATAGAAAAATGGGACTACATTAAATGGCTGAGAAGCTTCTGCCCAGCAAAATTACCCAGTAAATAGAGTGAGAAGACAACCCTCAGAGTGGGAGAATATATTTGCAAACTATACCTCTATTAAAGGACTGACAGAATACATGGGAACTCAATCAAATTAAAAGGAAAATAGGCTGAACAGAGGACTCTCTGTTCATAAGAAAAGCCAAAAAGTATATGAAGACATGCCTGACATCTCTAATCATACAGGAAACACAAATCAAATCCACAATAAGATACCACTTAACCCCAGTCAGAATGGCTAAAATTTAAAAAACAAACAAAAAGATAAGTCTGTGATGAAAAGGAGATGCTGCTACACTGTGGGTGGGAATGCAAATTAGTATAGCCACTGTGGAAAATGATATGGACATTCTTCAGAAACCTACGAATACAATTACCATACAACGCAGTAATTCCACTCTTAGGTATTTGCTCAAAGGATAAAAACCCCTCAAAAGGAAAAACACTTGCACATCCATGTTTATTGCAGCATTATTTACAACTGCTACAACAAGGAATCAAACCCAAATTTCCAAAAATAGACGAGTAAATCAAAAAAATGTAGCATAGGTACTCTATGGAATACTGCTCAGCCCTGAAAAATAATAACACTCTGACATTTGATACAAAATAGATGACTATGGAAGATGTAATGTTAAGTGAAGCAAGTCAGAGTATGAAAGACAGATTTTGTATATCCCCATTCAATATGTACCAAAGTGTGTGCTATGTAGCAGAAACTAAAAGGTATAGTAGCAGGGAGGGCAACTGTAGATACTAGACAGAGTAAGGATAGGAGTAATACAACGGTGGGTAATAGAGGGAGGGAAAAAAAAAGAGTGGAATGGGGGAAAAATGCATTTAATTGACACAAAAATGAAAAGTTACTTGATAATAATGTATATGGTAATGTCTTTTTCTTGACAGATATGCACCATATGCATGCTGGAAAACTAATGTACTCTGCAAAGCTATATGGTGATTAAATATAAATTTGAAAAAATAAACTAATTTTACAAAAAGAAACAATCCTTTGATTAAAAGAAAAAAATAAATGATTGAACATACTGGTAGTAATTTTTAAAAATTTTTT